CTGGCGAACGTGCCAGTATACCTCCGCTGCGCTCCTCTATTGCCTGACCGGAGATCTCGCTTCAGACACCGGGGAAAACATGCTGGGCAGCTGGTAAAGCTTAAAGACCTGCGCACTGCATCTTCCTCTCCAGCTGGTGGTCATGGTTTCCATCACCAGCTTCCCGCGTGCCCGGACCAAGTAAACAATGGGAGTTGTTGGTGAACGGACCGACCCGGAGGGGCTATTATTGAAAACCTCCAGCCATTAGCGCGCGCAAACTCCACCGCTGCTGGTTCCACTTTGAACAGTATCCGTATGTGTTTGGTCAACGCAAGATCTGTTACCAACAAAACTTTTATCCTCAGGGATTACTTTCAAGAGTACGAGTTGGACTTTCTGAGCATCACAGAGACTTGGATGTCTCCGGGTGAGTCCAGCGCCTTGACGGAATTACTGCCACCGAACTGTCTGTATTTTAACGCACCGCGGCCATCAGGCCGGCGCGGTGGTGGATTATTAACAATATTCAAACCAACTTTTAACTGTAAACAACTGCCCATCCCAGTTTCCCGTGCCAGCTTTGAGCTAAGCGTCTTTAAACTCGGCCATTCGCCTTCGACTTTATGTGCGCTCGTCTACCGCCCACCTCGAGCTAAGGATTTCATAAATGAATTTTCTGACTTCTTGGCTGAAATCACACCAAAATATGATCATGTTTTCATTATTGGGAACCTTAATTTGCACGTGTGCCGTCTGGAGAAGCCCTTGGTTAAGGACTTTTTAGATTTATTGGACTCATTTAATCTAACTCAGCATGTAAATGGTCCCAACCAAGTGCGTGGACATACACTGGACCTTGTTTTAACTCGTGATGTGACTGTTAGTAATCTTGAAATTGGTGATAATGTTTTTTCAGACCACATGCCAGTCCGGTTTGAGTTCACCCTCCCCCATTAAACTTGTAAGTCGTGCATTCCTTCACGTCGCAGCCGGACCATTAACGATTTCACTGCCACATGTTTCACAGATGTTTATAACTCTGAAATGATAATTCAGCCCTCGGTGTTTCTCACCACCACTGAGGAGCTGACATCCCAATTCAACTCTGTCTGCTTAAAGACTCTGGATCATGTTGCGCCTGTTAAAATAAAAAAAATCAAAACTCAGAGCAGAACCTTGGCTGAGTGAAAACACCAAGGCCGTTGGGCAGCAATGCAGGAGGGCGGAGCGCAAGTGGAGGAAAGACAGGCTGCAGGTCTCTTTTCAAATACTTAAAGAGAGTTGGCGCCGTTATCAGAAAGCAGTAAAAGCTGCTAAATCCAAATACTTCTCTGATATAATTACCTCAAACTCTCACAACCCACGTGCCCTCTTCTCTACCCTAAACTCTGTTCTCCACCTCACTGAACCATCACCTCTGGAAGCCTTGACTGAGCTGTGCGAGAACTTCTTACATTTCTTTTTGGAAACAATTGTGACCACCAGGGCTCTCATTTCCCCTCCAACTCATGACCCATCCATCCCACCTCAGTCTGTAGCTCCTTTTGACCATTTTGAACCCATCACTCTATCTTCTCTAGAGCAGGTCATGTGCAGCTTGAAACCGTCTGGTTACCCCTTTGATGTGGTCCCCCCTCGACTACTAAAAGAGATTTTTCCTACTCTAGGTCCGTCCATTCTTGCTATACTAAACAGTAGTTTATCCACTGGCGTGGTGCCAAAATCCTTTAAACATACTGCTGTCCAGCCTCTCCTAAAAAAACAAACCTTGACCCCCTCAGTCGTGTCCAACTTCCGGCCTGTCTCCAGACTCCCGTTTGTTTCTAAAATACTGGAGAAAATAGTTGAGTCCCAGTTGAAGTGCTTCCTGGAGGATCACGCCATCTTAGAGCTTTTCCAATCTGGCGTTAAACCTCTCCATAGCACTGAAACTGCCCTACTGAAGGTTTTTAATGACATCTTCAGATCCACAGATACTGGTGATTCTATGATGCTTGTCCTGTTGGACCTCACAGCCGCCTTTGACACCATCAACCATGAGATCCTCATTGCTAGGTTGGAGCAGTGGGTGGGTATCACAGGATCAGCCCTCAATTGGTTCAGATCTTACCTCGCTGACAGATCCTTTTGTGTCTCCATCAAGGATTTTAGTTCTGCAGCGGCAGAGCTTAAATGGGGGTTCCGCAGGGGTCCATCCTGGGTCCCCTCCTATTCTCTTTATACCTGCTGCCACTTGGTGCTATTTTCCGGAAATGCAACATACCCTTTCATTTCTACGCTGAAGACTGTCAAATTTACTTCCCCCTAAGACACAATGGTACATGCTCTATTCAACTTCTGCTTGACTGCCTGGCTGACATCAGGGACTGGATGGCTTTAAATTTCTTAAGTTTCGATGAAAAGAAGTCTCAAGTCATGTTATTCCCTCCCAACGACACGATCACAAACCACTGCATCGACCTTTCCACTCTAACCCTGTCAGAAAAACAAAGGGTCACTAATCTGGGCGTGATAATGTACCCTTCCCTGAAACTTAACAATCATGTAAACATGATTGTTAAATCATGTTTCTTCCAACTGAAGCGGCTGTCTAAACTGAAGCCCATATTATCCAAAAATAACCCTGAGACAGTAATACATGCATTCATTACATCTAGGCTTGATTACTGCAATTCGCTCCTGTTTGGCAACAGTCAAACCTCTATTGCACGACTACAACTGGTCCAGAATGCAGCAGCCCGATTTTTAACCAGTGCAGGCAAAAGAGAGCACATTACACCAGTTTTGGCCTCCCTGCACTGGCTACCAGTTCACCTTCGAATCCAGTTCAAAATACTCATGTATGTCTACAAATCACTGAACAGTGTCGCGCCCCCCCCATCTCTCTGATCTGTTATAACCGTATGTCCCACCACGCTCCCTGAGGTCAGTGGACCAGTTGCTCCTCACAGTTCCAAGAACTCGTCTTAAGCGCAGAGGTGACAGGGCCTTCTCTGTAGCAGGACCAAGACTTTGGAACAAGTTACCTCTGCTTGTCAGACAGGCCCCCTCCCTCTCAGTTTTCAAGTCCCGTTTAAAAACCCACTACTATTCAGTAGCTTTCAACACCAGATGATCTGTGTTTTGATCCTGTATGCTCCACACTGGTTAGTCGTCATTATCTGCATCGTTTTTATGTGTATATTCTGATTTACTTCATTTTGTATATTGCTTTGTGCGTTACCTGTTGTTCTGTCTGTACAGCACTTTGGTTGGCCTTGTCGCTGTTTTAAGTGCTCTATAAATAAAATGGTATGGTATGGTAAATGTTTAGTATTTCATCCAAAAGACTTCATCAGCCCGAGGAGCCACAACAAACTCAGGATTTTAAGTAACAGTCACATAGTGGGCCAACCAGTTTGATGGTGATAAGCTAGTTTCTGGACTTCTTGTTGGATTTTTTTACCTGAGTTATTGAGCATGAACTTTGATGTTTTGAACCACTTTGGCTATGGCTGCCTCAGTCGAGTCGGTGGCAGAGAGGGCGAACTCCAGAAACGATCTTATCACCATCAAACTGGTTGATCCACTATGTGAGTGTGCTGCTTAAAAGACTGAGTTTGTTGCAGCTCCTCGGACTGATGAAGTCTTTTGGATGAAGGATGAAATGTTTCAACAGAAAGAAACCGTCCAGAGAACCTGACTTAACTTTATTGGATATGTATGAAACTGTTTAACAAGTATAATGTCGCAAACACATCTGATGCTGTGTAACAAGTATGAAGCTGTATAACACATGTGTAATATGTATGACAATGTGGAATATGTATGACATGTGGTGTAACAGGTTGGACAGGTGACACAGGCTTACGTCAGTGGAGCACCACTCCTGAATCATGGATATGATGTGAGTCAGTTTCATCTGAAGCGTGAATGCTGCCTCCCACTCAGGCTCCATTTCAATGTGTTGGCCCACTTGTCTTACCACTGGGTCCATACCCTAAGACAAATAGACGAGTTCAGACACACACATGCCTGCACCTGAACTGGTAAACATTTTGCTGTGAGTCCAGGTTACCTGCATACACTTCAACAAATCCAGAAAAGCATCAAATCCTTCCACAAACTTCAGTCGGAGCTGATCGCTCCACTCAAAGGGAGGACTGATCAGGATGTATCTGCAGACAGAACAGCTGGTCAAATTGGTAAAACTGCTGTAGTGGTACCGGTAAAGGGTTTAAAACCAGTTCTCACTTCAGGTCTCCAATGAGGCTCTGGACTCTACCAAACTTGAAGGCCTGCTGGGCTGTGTAGCGATCAAACTGGAAGCGTCCCTGTGGGTCTCTGTGACGGAGGTGATCCACAAAAGTCCTGATGATGGTGGTCATCAGGTTCTCCTCCACCATGAGCATCCGAGCCTGCAGCCATGCACAAACACAGAAAATTCTTGGCCTCTACCAAAGCAATTCAAGGGTGGAAATTCCACCTCATTATTGGGGGTGGGGGTTGAAGAGCCATTTTTTGGGGGGTCCCTTAAGATACAGTCAGGTGAACTGTTGTAAAATGAAACGAAAATGAAACGTAACAAGTTCACAAGTAGACAAGTTGCAGGAAGTAAACAGGAGCACTGACTGAAAGTGTTTCTCTACCTGCCCCCATGCAAATTTCTTTTGTCTTATAAAGGAGCTTGATTCACTTCTTGGCAACATGATCATATGATTTACAACAAAAGCTTCTTCTTTTTACAAAAACATAAAACCGTTTATTACTATTTATTTATTTATTACAGTTTATTTAAGAACAAGCCTCTAAACATCCGACATACATCCATATGTCATAAAAGTCCAAATGGAAGAATTAATCACGACTGCGGAGAGATACGCAGTGATCAGATGTTACCATGGAAACACGGAAACAAAAATCTCTACCGCGGTCATTACAGATTTTTAATATGCTCACTTTGCAGGTGAATAATGCTGAGGAACTGTACATGTACATTAGTTATGGGTATTAGTTTTCCTCAGTTTAAAGATCATTCATAATCACGTGGACAATTTAATTTGGTTTGGATTACTTTTTGTGGTTGCTGAATAATCGTCACTGATCTGTAGCAGTTCTACAAGAATTTAAAGTTCTAAAACATGTTAAACAGAATACATACACCCAATCAATAAATCCACTAATCAAACAAAAATATTGATCAGATACATTGATTTACTGTGGTGTCTGTCAATATAAATTATGAGCCACTAAAACAATGAAACAAGATCTTTTGTTTCTTCCTATCAGAGATGCCTTTGAACATTATAGAAATATATGTATATTTGTATTATATGCTATAATACAGTATATGCATATATATATATATATATATATATATATATATATATATATAAAATAGTAAATGTGTTCTTGTTTGATAACTTAAATCTAAACTTAGTCGCATGGTACAAACTGTAATGAAGGCGATAGGAAGAACTGATCACCCCTCCCTGCAGTCTATGATGAGTCTGTTCTCAGACTTGTTCGGAGGGTGCTGTCTGACCCCGCTCACATCCTCAACTCACAATACGAACCGTTACCATCTGGAAAACGGTTTAGAATCCCTGCTTGTAGACTTAGATTTAAAAATTAATTTGTCCCTACATTAGTCAGATTGTTAAACAAAGGAGGCATATAGTTTTTTGTTATGCACTGATGCTCTGGTCTCATTGTGTCGTTTACTTGCTGGAATGTATGTGGGAATGTGCAATATGTGTTTTTATTGAATTATGCGTTTTTATTGAATTAGGTGATTTTATTAATAGGTGTTTTATATTTTTGTATTTTATTATGGGGTTCACATGATTTTATTGGTTGTAGTGTATTAAATTGTGGAAGAAGCTTTGTTAGCGCACGCTGTCCAAGACATGCATGCACATCCATCCATCCATCCATCCATCTAATGTCAATAGAAAGTAAAAGCAAATATATTCTTGTTTTAAGTATTTCACCCTGTTTTACGGCACCCTGATTTATTGTTTTATACAAGACTTTGATTTTAACTGCATTTTTACTGTAGTTTATTGCTGTCACTGTTTACTGTTGTTATCCGTACTTTATATGTTCTGTCTGGAACAGGTCTCTCTTATAAAGGAGTCCTTGTGGCTCATTGAGGCTAGCCTGTAAAAATAAAGGTTGACAGAATGAAATCTGTTGTCATGTAAAAAAAAAAAGTCTAAATATTTTGCTTTGAGTAAAATAAAAATATTCCTGAGTTTTCACTGAGGCTTTCTCCACACAAAAGGCAATATTGCTAATTGTTGAACTACAAAAATTCTGATAAGCTCTTCTTATTAGATGTCAGGTGCACACTTCTGTCAGGGATCAGACCGAACCACTAGACTGATGGGGAGTTGGATAAATTTCTGAAAGTCATAAATGCATTGTTTTGCTGATATAAATGGTGAATATACTTTACTTTCTTTATATTGCTAAAAATTATAGTATTCTCTAAAGATTTATTGGGGGAGGGTTCTTTCTTTGTTTTCCCAAAATTGGAGGGGTTTCCAGAACATCCTGACCCCCTCGGGATTTCCACCCAAGAAGCAATTTAGATAAGAAACCAGAACTTCTTCATGTGCAGGTGGAGGATGGGAAGCTGGAAATGGATTGATTGGATATATATATATCCAATCTATGTATATAAAATATATCTATCTATATATCTATGTATCTATCTATATATCTATATATATCTATATATATATATATCTATATATATATATATATATATATATATATATATATATATATATATATATATATATATATATATATAT